CCAAACACCCATGGAGCCGCAATTTTTATCGCAGGGCGCTGTGAACGCGCACGCGTGCGGTCGCGGTCAGGCAGTGTGCTGTGAACGCGCACGCGTGCGGTCGTGGTCAGGCTCAGCGTGTGGGAGCCACGGCCCAGTCTTGCGCTCCCTGACTTTTCTCGGCAGTGTGCTGCTGTACTGGCAAGCTTCAGAGCCAGCCCTCATGTAACAGGAGGCCAGTTCCAACCTTTCGCCCGGCTTCGCCTTGAGCGTTGTGTTCCAGCTTCATGGTGCCGACTTCTCCGCGTGGTTTGGACCTGAACTCCAGGGCCGAACCTCCCGCGTCCCACTCCCAGCTCCAGCTCTGGCCGGTTGCTGCCGGTGCTGGTGCCGCTCCGGCTGAGCCGTGGCAGCCGATGTCAGCGGCATGCGTTCGCCATTTTCTGTGTTCGCCGCCCCCTCCGACCCCGACGGAGCGGACGCCATGTTTTTCGTCGGTGGCGGCGGCGGCGACGGACGTCGGCGCGCGGCCCGCACCGGCAAAACCGGGCCCGGCCGCGGCGCGGCCACACTGGGATTCAGCCACGGCGCTGCCAGCCAGACATCCGTACTGGACAGTCAGGGCTCGGTGGTTATCGGGAGGACTTGAAGGAGAGGGCGTGACGGGATGGCCCATGGGATATCCGCTCAGCCGGTGATCGATACCACCAGATGGCCCGCGCAGGACCCCACCGGCCGGCCGGCGATGGGCGAAACCGGTTACGGCGGGCAGGGAGCCGCGCGAGCAGCTGAGGAGCGCGGGACACTGCATCCAACACGGTACATTCACCACCGACACTCGCTCGCCGCCTCTTGATGAGCGCACCACTTATGGTCAACTGAGTTACAACATCTGGCAGTTTCGTCTTCATGTTCCCACGAGCGACAGCCAAAGTCGCGTTTCCAGCGAGTTCAGCATCGATACATTGCACTGCATTTTGTTAGAAATAATGCAGACATGGTATAGATTACACTTGTACTGCTCCGTCTCCGCCACTCAGCATGGTTTGCTTCAGGCTCGCGCATAATTGATATGGGATGTGCAGCTCGCTATGAAACTACAAAGCTAATGGAGATGTTGCCAACGGACCGCCACGTGCAAAGTCTGGGCAAGTTCAACATGTACACCTGAAAGTACATCTGAATTAGTTTGCTCGAATTCGGCTGCTTGTTTCTGCTGTCAACTTACCATTTCAATCGTAATGAATGGTGGAAATGCGCTTGTTGCTTCGTCAAAATGTAGCGTGAATTTTGATGACATTGGGCAAAGAGGTAAAAAATTACAAATGTTGAACTTTATGCTCCGTAACCACTGAACTCAACACCAAAATATTAAGAGATGAATATCTATGAAGTGCAGTGATGTTTCGCGTGCCAATGCGTGAGGCATCAGACGACCGAGTGGCCGTATGCCTATTGTGCAGAGCAACACATTTCGAGTGGAACTCATCGGCCTGGAGTCAGCAACCAGCCGTCACGCGCCCTTTGCCCGGGATAAACATGTACTTTGCCTTCTGGGCGGCGGCAGGGTCACAGGCTGAGCCGTCCCAGGCGAGGCTGTCGTGCGGCGCAGAGTATGGCTGCCAGTGTCAGCACGACGACAGCCACCGGCTGGCGGTGGCGGCAGGGTCACAGGCTGAGCCGTCCCAGGCGAGGCTGTGGTGCGGCGCAGAGTATGGCTGCCAGTGTCAGCACGACGACAGCCACCGGCTGGCGGTGGCGGCAGGGTCACAGGCTGAGCCGTCCCAGGCGAGGCTGTGGTGCGGCGCAGAGTATGGCTGCCAGTGTCAGCACGACGACAGCCACCGGCTGGCGGTGGCGGCAGGGTCACAGGCTGAGCCGTCCCAGGCGAGGCTGTGGTGCGGCGCAGAGTATGGCTGCCAGTGTCAGCACGATGACAGCCACCGGCTGGCGGTGGCGGCAGAATGACAGCCGCCGGCTGGTAGTGTCGGTAGGATGACAGCCGTTGGCTGGTGGTGTTGGTAGGATGACAGCCGCCGGCTGGTGGTGTTGGTAGGATGACAGTCGCCGGCTGGTGGTGTCGGTAGGATGACAGCCGCCGGCTGGTGGTGTCGGTAGGATGACAGCCGCCGGCTGGTGGTGTCGGTAGGATGACAGTCGCCGGCTGGTGGTGTCGGTAGGATGACAGCCGCCGGCTGGTGGTGTTGGTAGGATGAGAGCCGCCGGCTGGTGGTGGTGGCAAGATGACAGGCGGAGGCTGGT